TTTTTAAAATTGGATAAAAACTAAAAGATTAATTTTGAAAAGAAAAGATTGTTTTTGGCGGTGCACTACTATCTCTTGAGAGAGAAATTTTTTTTTTTTCCTTGATCATTAATTAACTTGCTCATCGCCTTCATTCCAACTTTTAAACGGAACCTTTTGAATATTCAAACAGCAGCAATAATAATTTAACTTTTCTAAGTTTGAAACCTTCAAAGAATGAAATGTTTCAAAGTGGTCGATGCCTTTCATCTTCTCTGCCAAAATGTCCTTCAGCCATAGTCTTTATTATGCCACCATCCCTTTTTTCCTTTTTGATGTTATATATAATTGATACGCCTTTTTTCTTTTGGTTTAATATCCAATATTCAATTCATCCTTTTGGATTCTCTAGGCATGTGGTAGATTGGCTGGCCAGTGTAGCAGTAAATCGAAATAACCTCTTGTGTTCAGCCCCGGCGTTAGCAAATGCTATGCAAATGAAGCTTTTGAGCTAGCTGGGCATTAGATTTGAATAAAGAAAAATATTTGGACACTTATGTTGATTTGAGCAGAAAAAAATCATCAATTATATAATGAAGTGCTGGACAAGATTGATGAGAAACTTCAACAATGGAGGGCTAGTTTTCTTTTGCAAGCGGGGAGGTTAAACATTGATCAAGTCGCCTATGTTCATCAGTGTTAGTGCATACCCTCTTTTACTAAGCTACCATCATTTATTATGCATGAAATAGACATGAAGATAATATATTGATTCTTAATATAAAAGCTAGTCGAAAGTTTGAATTTGGGTTTAAATATAAGACTTTAATTCACTTTGTTTCTGAAATTTATAATTTTTTTTTCAAAATATCCTTATTGTTTGTAAGAAGTTCCTACCAAGAAGTAATTTCAATGCATATGATTAAATAGGACAGTTTAAGAAAATCAACATAGATTTGTTACAAATGACTAACTTAACTAATTTTTTTTTAGTATTTTTAAATTAGTTAGCTAACTTTTATGTTAAAGATAGCTAAGTTCTTTTGGTAATTCAAAAAATAGAAGTAAAAGGATACATTTGTTACCACGAACAACATTCGTCAGTCAAACAAGTTAGGTGGATTTGGGAAGACAATGGATTTTTTTTTTTTGGGCGATGAGATAGAGGATTTTAATAAGGCATTATTAGCTAAGAATATATAGAGATTTGTTTTGGATGGGAAGTGGTGTTTCCAGGATGAGTACTGTGTAAGGACCTGTCCTTGTGAGGAAAACAACAACTAGAAACAACTCCTAATACTCCGTAGGTTGAGAAGCAAATGGAGGAATCCACCCAAGGTATTGAGCAGAAGTTTCATTTTTCTCATGAAGAGTCTTGTACTTTTGAAGCATCGAGCCATTTGATGTTATCAAAGGGTTAGGTTTAGCCTTAAAAGCCAAAATATTTGCCTTTGAAAGATGAGCGGCCCGTTATTAGGACAAAGGGATACACACTAGAGGTGGTAATATAGGCCAACTCCCGTGACAGATTAGGGTTAGGCAGTGCGGGCTAAAAAGGTTCCTTGTAACGGTGGGTTGGTTTTTAGCTAACCCTAACTCGTTATGGTGGGTTGATGGGTTGGCCAGCCAACCCGCCAACTATTCTTTTCTTTCTTTTTTTTTTTTTAATTTTAATTTTTAAAATATTTTTTCTTATATGATATAAAAAATATAATGAAATTTTTATCTTTTCTTTAAGTACTTGATTAAAAATACCAAATAAATAAATGAATAGGTATTTTTTTAAATTTTTTAGATAGAATATACAATATAATAATATACATATAATATACATATAATGATTAATAAATTTAAAAAATACAAAAAAATGGGGGTTAACCTGCGGGTTGGCAGGTTAACCCGTGACGGGTTGTGGGTTAGATGGTACGGGTTGAAAAGCGTTGTTTACTGACGGGTTGACTTTTAGCCAACCATAATATGTCATTTTTGGTGGGTTGGCGGGTTGAACCCATGAGTTTAACCTATTTTATCAGCTCTAATACCCACAGCCTCTTCTATGAAAAGAGAAGTGCGAGAACTAATTGTTGACTTTGATAAACTCCATTATATTAAAATAGAAATAAGCCTCTTCACGGAAAAAAAAAAAAAAGAAAGAGAGAAGAGAAAATTGCAAATAAAGACTTCCAAATATGTAAAATTATGATTTGGGACCCTTAATTTAGAAAATAGCAAATAAAGACCCGATCTTACTTTTGCAAATATAAAATTGTGGTAAAATATTTGAAATACCTCTCAGTCAAATGACAAGTTAACTATGAGAAATGGCAAGTTCACTTTAACGAATGACAACTTTAGTAGACCAAATCACAACTTGGTTAAGGATAAGCCAAATGACAAGTTGACTATGGGAAATGACAAGTTCGCTTTAACGAATGATAACTTCAATAGACCAAATCACAATTTGGCTGAAGGGCATTTCAGAAATTTTACTCACATTTTATATTTGCAAAAGCAGGATTGAGTCCTTATTTGCTATTTTCCAAATTTAGGATCTCAAATCATAATTTTACATGTTTGGGGTCTTTATTTACAATTTCCCAGGAAAGAAATTAGCCCAATAGTCAAGTCGATATACTATACAAAGTACAAACATAAAATATTACTTGTTGCCGTAAATTTAATATTTACTAAATTATTTATACAGACAGATCACTTTTTGATCCGTTTCTTTGAGGTCTTTCAAATTTAAAATACTACTTCCTATACTTAACAAGATAGTTAATTGGAATTGTATTTGATCTTAAATATAAAATCTTAATCCACTTTATCTCTCATATTTTTTCAAAATTCTCTATTGATTACAAGGGTTCCCATTAAGGGATATTTCCAATCATCTAATGCATATATGATTGAAAATGATATTTTAGGAAGATCAACACATATTTATAACAAATAACTAATTTAACTAATTTTTTTAATATTTCCAAACTAGTTATGTAACTTTTATATTAAAGACAGGAGGTAATAGATTTTTTTGGCTAGTAAATTTAAAATAGAATGTAAATAGCTGGGATATCATGCATATTATATTTAACATCAAGCGTGTCTTCTGATATTTTTTTTTTGTTGACCGGAGTGTCTTCTGATATTTTAAATCAATGAAACACCCTTGCTTGCAAATGTTACGTGGATGAAGCTTAATTTTAACATTAATCAATTAATGCATGAGTCAGAGATTGATTACCTCACGAATAACACAAGTCAACTTGCATATGCAAAGTAAATTTAGACTTGCAGTACTACCTCCGGTCCTTAATATAAGACCCTATTTGACTTTTATTTTGGTCCTAAATATAAGACCCCAATCCACTTTGTCTCTCATATTTATACATTTTTTCCCCAAAGTAACCCTTCTAACAATGATAGTTCTAATCAATACACCTGATTAGTAAGGATATTTTAAGAAAGACAACACCTATTTAGGACAAATAACTAACTCAACTTACTTTCTTAATATCTTTAAATTAGTCAACTGGTTCTTATAATTAGGACCGAAGGTAGTATGTTTTATTTATAAGTCATTTGCAACATGTTTCACATAGACCAAGAAAAACCTTAAACTTCATTAACTCTTATTTAAAATTCAATAATTTTTTACCTTTATTCCTATTTAATATACATTATACCTTATTTAAATAAAATCAACACAATAATAAATGAAGGGTAAAATTGTGCATCCATACAAAATTTCTCTCAATACCCTATAAATAGGACAAAAAATATTTTCTCTCTTTACATATAAATAGGACCAGAGGAGTATATATATAAAATCTAATTTAGTCATATAAAACAATTTTATATATCATCATTTATTGCTTCATCAGAACAAAAAGAAAAGGCTGCAGAATAGAGAAATATCACAAATTGCCATTTTAATCTCTATTTCATTTGAAGAGGCATCTAACTTTAATAAATTAATATGTTGTTTTCCCTTTTCACGATAAAAAGTTGTTCTAGAAAGGTAAATACTACTAATTAATGCCTTTTGATAATCGTTAAAACATACAAATTGAAAGACAACACAACCAATCCGAACTAATGACATTGCTTTCATATATGATTAGTAATTAGTAATTATTTTATAATCAACACATAAATATTTTTTTCTTTTGACAAATAAGGGATTTATTAATATAATATGACGGACTACTTCATGGTCTAAAGAGTACAGAAATATACAAATTAAGTACATGCTAAAAAATTGATGAGTGTAACTTTAAATTAAATTTTTGGTAACAAATATAAATATGAATATAAATCAAAATTAAAACACAAGGCAGATTATATTCAAATGGTTTAATTAGTAACCATCAAAATGTTATTAAATTATTCTTCTAAATTATCTCCTTAAACTAGTACTAAAATTTCACAACTTACCTCTGCTGTTTTTTATTTTGGGGTTAGAAAAGGGTCAACGTGCATGCATCTGTTAATATGATCATTTTAAATGACAATACTTTTAAAGACAAAAGTGAGAAAATTGAATTGAAACGGCCCGAGCTGTTTAAATTTGTTGTAGACGATCCTGTGCTACAGCTCTCATAACAACAGACAGATCAAAATCATTAAAAAGACCTTATATCTCATTTTACTAGGACCATGTTTATTGGTTTTACAACATAAACTTGGGTTACATTGGCCTCTCCTAAACTTTTTAATTCATGTGAAAAAACAAATTCAAAATAATCATGTCCAGCATTAAGATGTGTGTAACTCTAGGAAATATACGAGTACCAAACAACCATGCATGTTTAGTTCAACACACCCAATAAAACACATATACCATTGATGTGGCCTCGATTTTATCTTATGATCTTTGATTAAATCGTCAATTTTACTATAAATACACACACACTCACATCATTTATTATATATGTGCGCGCGCGCGCGAGTGTATATATATGTACATTTTCTTTCTTGTAGTTCTTGTGGTTGTTGTCTGTTAGATTGGAGGAAGGTGGATGGAGTCCATATCCAGTTCAGCATCCCTCACAACGCCTATATTCCAATGCTTTGATCCTTCTAACGGCTATAATTCGTCGCTTTCTAGCCCCAGGCATTTCTATTACTCTTCCACCTCTCCAAAATTCCATTCCTCCGCCGCCACCTCCACGGTGGATTCCGCCTCTCTCCTCCCCAAGATCGTGACCGGAGATGCTGGCTACGTCTTCGAAGATGTTCCTCACCTATCTGATTACATCCCTCACCTCCCCGTATCGCCCCCTCCATCTCTTTCCACTTGCATTCGCCAGAATCATCAGTGTTTTAGTTATACGTACATATTTTTTTATTAATCAGCGTATACTGATTACATTGTTCTTGCTTGGCAATCTTCATGCAGACTTATCCTGACCCGTTACAAGATATTCCTTCTTATTCAGCTGTAAAGTAAGTTATACTCTTCCCTCTTCATTTCAATTCAGAGTTTGAAAATCTAGTATTATCGAACGAAGCCATTTTTTCTTTTGTTTTTTTGCATGAGAAGGTGATAATTTCGAGCTAAAATGTATTTAGTGGTTAAGATCACAAATATTGGCTGCTTTGAAAGTTTAGGAAGCAATCAAAATGAAAAGAAAGAATAGGACAAAGTTTTTATGTTAATATCCCTCGTTAACATTTCCAAGTTGAAATTTACTAATGAGGATTGCAGTCTAATGGCATAATTTTTTTTTTTTTTATAAGCTGAGAGGTTGCAGGTTTGATGCTGTTTATAAACTCAGGCCGTCAATATCTGTCACTCCAAATTAAAAGAAACAAATATCTAAGTTAAATTTCCAAATTCATATCTGTTAAACTTATGTTAGGAAATATCCGTGTGATCAGTTTGATGACAGAGCTTAATTTGCAGGCAGCATTTTGTAAATGAGGAAGACACTGTTGCGGAACAGGCAAGTAATTTTGCGTTGATTCACCAGGCTATTAAGCTTTTAAATAATAATAATAATAATAATAATAATAATAATAATAATAATATAGACTGAAGCAGGAAAAACATAGAATGTGGCTTCTTTTTTTTTGTCTTTTCGTTTTTTTGGTGAATTTCGCTGCCTTTTGTATTATATATAGATAATTGCACAGAAGAACAGTCCAAGAGGGGTTCACTTTCGGCGAGCTGGACCTAGTCAGAAGGTTTGCTAACAATTCAGATATATTATTATTGAATAGTTTAAAGTGAGCTTGTTGTTAAGAACAATAAGTAAAATTTAAATGGGGATACAATGACAAAGTTACGGGATGTTTGGCAGGTTTGCTTTCAATCAGAGGAAACATATGCTTGTGTGGTGACATGTGGAGGCCTGTGTCCCGGTCTCAACACAGTCATCAGAGAAATAGTCTGCGGCTTATACGACATGTATGGGGTCCACAAAGTTGTCGGAATAGAAGTAAGAATTTCATATTTATTACACGTAACTAACTTAATAAATTTCGTTAATCTACTCAAATTAGTCATGAGTAACAGAATTTTCAAGAATTAATTAATGCTCTAGAATGTTTTATTTCATCTGGAAAATGCAGGGAGGATACAGAGGATTTTATTCTCGAAACATGATTCCATTAACCCCAAAGGTTGTGAACAACATACACAAACGTGGGGGAACCATCCTAGGCACTTCCCGTGGAGGCAACGATACTTGCAAGATTGTTGACAGCATTCAGGATCGGGGGATTAATCAGGTTTATTTCTGTCATCTCTTTTTCAAGAAAACTGCCAAAAAAATAGTGTAATACAATGCACAAGGTTCCAAACTTCCCACCAGATTAGAGGTTTGAAGAGGGATAAATGTACACAGCTTTGTCTTCAAAATTTGAACTTGTGACCTCTAGATTACATGGCAGTAACTTTGCTGTTGCTCTGAGGCTTACCCTCCTTTTTTCAAGAAAATTGCAATCACACAAACTTGTATACTAATGCAGCCTCTCCTCAGGTTTACATCATTGGAGGGGATGGGACTCAGAAAGGGGCTGCTCTGATATTTGAGGTAATAATAAGACTTCACTTGATTTGTTTTGAAATAAACATGTTACATAGATTTGGTATTTACACAGGAAATTAGACGACGTGGCCTGAAAATTGCAGTGGTGGGAATTCCAAAAACCATTGATAATGATATCCCGGTAAGCATGCTTCAATTATGTGAATCACAGAACAAAGCTATATATTTTGGTGTGGTATATGATAATGTTTATATATGGGTATGTTAATTACTATGTAAGGTTATAGACAAGTCATTTGGTTTTGATACTGCTGTTGAGGAGGCACAACGAGCTATTAATGCTGCTCATGTGGAAGCAGAAAGCATTGAGAATGGCATTGGTGTTGTCAAGTTAATGGGACGTTACAGCGGTATATATGTACACATATATATGCTTCATTCATTCCTATGGATATACTCATATATTAACAAGTTTATCTCTCACACTGAATTGATCTAACTATAGTAATTTGTGATTGTGCAGGATTTATAGCGATGAATGCTACTCTTGCAAGCAGAGATGTGGACTGTTGTTTGATTCCAGAGTCGCCATTTTTCCTGGAGGGTCCTGGAGGACTGTTTGATTTCATAGAGAAAAGGCTCAAAGAAAATGGTCACATGGTTATAGTAGTTGCCGAAGGTGCAGGCCAAGACCTAATTTCTCAGAGTCTATCTACAATGAACCAGCAGGATGCCTCTGGAAACAGGCTGCTCCAAGATGTCGGTCTCTGGTTATCTCAGAAAATTAAGGTACATTCTCTCAAATCATACTCCCAAAGTTGTTGTAGTACAGGATATTAAGTCACATATTGAGTAGTATGAGATGCTCAATGAGGTATTTAATTTAAATAGATTGGTTTTTTGACCTCAACAATTAGCTTTTAGGGTAGGATTCTCGATACCCATGAGCAGCATCATATAGTAAACAGTACACAATGTTAGTTAATGCAATCTCTTGTTGTGTTTTTAGGATCACTTCAAGAAAAGTCAAAAAATGGCAATGACTCTGAAGTACATTGGTGAGCTCTATACAAACAATTAGTGGCAAGTGACTATTTTGTATAAACAACGTTCTAACAAGTCAATTTGGCAGATCCAACATACATGATCCGTGCTGTTCCAAGCAACGCATCTGATAATATATACTGTACCCTCCTTGCTCACAGTGCCGTTCATGGCGCAATGGCAGGATACACAGGCTTCACAGTTGGCCCCCTTCATGGTAGACATGCTTATATTCCATTCCATGTAAGTTCTTTTTCACAATTCAAATTAATATTTTATATCATGCTCAAGATCATCCTTTGGATTTTGCTCAAAACTGAATTTCTTACTTGGATTTTACTGCCTCCGGTTCTTAATATAAGATCTAGTTAACTAATTTGAGTATATTAAGAAAATTAATTAAGTTAGTTATTTCTAATAAATAGGTATTATATTTCCTAAAATACCCTTGATAATAATGTGTATTAGTTAAAACTACCATTTGATGAAATATTAAACATATGAAATTATTACAAGGATTATCTTGCAAAAAAAAAAAAAGAATAGATTAGGCTCTCATATTTATGACCAAATTGAAAATCAAACTAGCTTTTATATTAAGGATTGGATGTAGTATATTGGTATTTCAATTTCATAGGAAGTTTTATTTATATGTTGTGTTTGGCTATTTGCAGAGGATAATCAAAGGACAAAAGAGGGTTGTGATAACCGACCGGATGTGGGCAAGGCTACTATCCTCTACCAACCAACCAAGCTTCATAAAACCTTGCAGCATCAATGGGGAAATAGAAAAAGGAACAGAAAAACAAGCACCAAATGGGAAGAATCATGTAGAAATCATTGCGGCTAAATCTGCTGAATAGCAGTTTTTTTTTTTTTTTTTGTGTGGTGATAATAGCAATTATTTATGTTTCATTTTTCACAACCGACCGGATGTGGGCAAGGCTACCATCCTCTACCAACCAACCAAGCTTCATAAAACCTTGCAGCATCAATGTGGAAATAGAAAAAGGAACAGAAAAACAAATACCAAATGGGAAGAACCACTCAGAAATCACTGCGGCTAAACCTGCTGAATAGCAGTTCTTTTTTTTTCTCCCCCCCGTGATAATAGTAGTTATTTGTGTTTCATTTTTGCAACAGTATTTAAGAAGTGGAAGTTTTGTAAGGAAGAACCATACAAAAATCCCTGTTTATCGTTGGTACGTATCTTTTGAAAATTTGCATGCTTTCAAAAATCATATACTAGTAGATTATTATATATAACAAACTATAGAGTATTATACACACAAATATATTGCATTCCACTGACAACTAGTCTTGCATGTGAGGGTTTGCAAGTGACTAACTATAGGAATGAGTATGGGTGCTCATTACTTTTGATAAGCATCCAAACTCGTTGGCTAAACTTGAAAAAAAAAAAATCCAAACTCATCAGATGTAAAAGGTTCAGATTTTATTTTTTTTTTAATAATTATTTTAATGTATATAGAATTTAAAAAAAGACATTCTTATGTCTAATAATGTTAATCAACAGTCATTGGACTTGGTGAGCGAGTTTTCGACCGTTTCACTCCGTGTGTGCTTGAATTCGAATTCGTATGAATGTAGAAAATATACTTGGGAAAACCATTCTCAGCTGGACTTGACAATGCATGTATCTGATCCAGTCAAATAAACATATCAGAAAATGTCTAGTAATAAATCACATCAATCTGCAGAGACAGCCCCAGAGTTTGCGATTAATAAAAAGAAAAATACTAAGCAGAGTAAAACATTTAATGATGACGAATGATAATAGAGGAAGAATGCCTTTGAGGACGGCGGAATATTTGATGAATGTTCAAATTTGTTTTAGCAAAGCTAGGAGTATACTCATCTGTTCCACCAGCAAGGAGCCATGGCTGGAAAAGTGGAATTATTCGACGCAAAGTTGTTGATGTTCGCATTCTCTTTGAAACTCTCTCAAATAAGACATCATTATCTTGATTACTTTTTTTGCGGAAGCAAAATCTCTCAATTTTTAATGCTGAGTTAGATTAGTAATAATTTACGCAATTTTATTGGCATCTCAAATCTTCGAATTGATTAATTACTATATTAATTAAGAGATATGACGTGATTGGATACTGTGTTTTATTACTTTTCATGTTTTGGAGGCAAATCCATAATTTTCATTATGAATAATGTGAAATTTTTGTTATGTTACGAAGACTGAAAATGGAAGATGAAGGAAAAAGGCAAAAGAAGAGAGCAGATTCTTGTTCTTCTTTGTTAGTTACTGGTTCTGGTTCTCTTTCAGTTGCCCGAGATTAATTTTGATGGAGGTAAGCATTTGGATGAACTTTGATGGCTTGTCCGTGCTGTTCTACATATATCAATCCTCCCTTGAACGTCCTTCTAGTAATGTTTCTCAGCCTTCTTCAAGATCAAATTGTTCCGATTCTCTTGCTCCAACGGATATAAATGTTGATATATACAAATTCAGCTAATGCAATACTGACAATATCATCATAAGCAATTCACCTGCTCTGGAAATGAAATGGAGAAAATCACATATAGTATCACCATCGTGGTACGTTATCTATATTTGGTGCATTATACAGAAATAATGATGTATTTACATCCATTTTCTTAGAAATTCTAAAGGACAATACAAGAAATCTTCAAAAAGCAATCAACTTTCCCAGCTACCAATTTCATTTCATTCTTGTTCTTTAAAAACAGTGTTAATAACCTCCTTCAGATTCTTGCAACCTACAATTTTCATCTTCCCAAAACCATCCGTTCCTAAAATTTTTACTGCTTCTTTCGGTACAACACACATTCTGTAACCCAATTTCGCCAGAGTGTTGACCCTTTTATCCAATCCAGGAACCTGAGCCAAAATAAACAAGATTTAGAAACGCCATCACCATACCAAGTTTTATAGTGATAATCTCAATCACATGGAAAAAGCGTTCATCACCAGATATAAAATGCAAAATTTTGAACATAAGGAGCTTTTCATATTATAATCAGCACGTCCCTTCAGACTAATGAGGCTAAGTCGAAACCCTTAAATATCACATAATAGCAAGTTAGCACCATCAATATGAACTCACCGTGCGGAGCTCCCCAGCAAGGCCAATTTCACCAATGAATGCTATGTCCCTGGGAAGAGGGAATTCCAAGAAACTGGAAAAAGGAAAAACAAGAGATGTTTACTAAATGCAATGAAGCCAAAGTTCATAGTACACTTAAAAAGAAGAAATTAAAGGAGGAAAAAAGTGTTGCTACAGCATTGTTTAATTTGTTATACATCTTACATTAAACACCACCTCCCGCAATCCTTACAGCATTAATCATTGTCATATAAACTAATTGAAATAAAAATTACGAGATCACATACCTGCTGCAAATTGCAGCCGCTATTGCCAGATCTCCAGCAGTCTCAGTCAGCTGAAATCCGCTAACAACATTTAAAAACACAGCCTGACAGTAGACAGGTAGGACAAGGTTACAAAATTAGAAGAACAAAAAAAAAAAAAAAACTATAACATATTATATTTTCCAATTTAAATAAGCACAACAGTTTATGGACTAATAATTTAAATAATAATGTTATAGACGTGTGTCTTGAAAGACAAGTGCTTTTAAACTAAATTTAGCAGGAAATATCCCGACAGACATGCACAATCAGGAACAAAATGTGACAGAAGTGAATGGTTTTTGAAGCACTAATGATCATCAATATCATTCCTCTTGAGCTCACCAAAATGGTTATATCAATGCTCTATAAATTCTGACAGCCAAGATGCAAAGCACATCCACCTCATTCTAACCGATAGAAATGCGCCATATTGGCTCTCAGATTACAAGTTCATTCAGTTGTTTTTGGTAAACAGTCACCCGGGCCTAGTCACTGCAACCCCTTTTATGAGGATGCACCCTTTATGCCGAAGTTACGGGGCTATTTTGCCAAGTTCTTTAGAGAGTTGTCTCACACCCCTAGGCGTTCTCTTCATTACTGACATAACAGCAGCACAGAAAACCCACTTGCAGGCCACTAATACAGAAAACAAGAAGCATGAAAGGGCAAACTAGATTTATATGTGAGCTCACATTTTCTTGAAGTCGAAGTCCAGCTTGCTTTATAAGTACCTACACGTTGCGAAATGGTTATATGATCAAAACAAATGAACAGATTTCAACGAAGATCTGAGTTTTAAATAAAAAAATGCACCAACCATTCAAATACTTAGTTGTATTCTACACTTCCATTTATTTTATAAGATAAAGAGTTGACCTCGTATTACAAAAGCAAATCATGAAACAAGAACTTACGGATATGATCATATCAGCTCTACTTTGTTGAATGCCATTAACATGCCTTGAGACTGTTGAGCCAGAAACACAAAGTGCCTGCAAAAAAACATTAGATATTGATCTCAATTGTCTACTCCAGAGAATGTTAAAGTTAGAAAAGCTAGAATTGTACCAACAAAAAAAAAGTTGGAAAAGTTAGAAAGGACACTGACAATATTATATAGTATACAGTAGATAAAAATAAGCAATTGAGGAGCTATAATTGGAGGTATCTAACATAGATAAGGAAGGGGAGAATCAGAAAATGTTAAAACACATAAAAAATAAGCAACATTCATCATTCATATCCAGAGATCGCAATTGATGTATTTACCAGCAATTATTAAATCAACAGTTGTATACGCATCATCATCAACGGTTGGAAAATATTCTCATATAAACACAACGGTGATCATGATAATGTTTCTCAAAAGAACATTGCTAATAATACAGGGAAACAATAATGGACTTGAGGGCTCACAAAATTTTGATCCATTTGAATGGCAAAAGATTACCTGAATTTCAATAAGGAAAGCTCGAGACCCATCCATTACGACAGCAATAGCTAACCCCGCTAAAAAATCTGAATCTAAGTATTGGTCACTTAAAAATATTTCACTGGCATTTGAAACAGCCCGGAGACCTGATTGTAACATCTCAAAGACTCCAAGCTGACCATATAGATCAGAGGAACAGATAAGACAATTTAAATCACATATTAGCAGTGAGAAAAATATAAGCCCATATTAAAAGATGACATAATAAAAAAGCAGATCATATGGCACATGTCATGACTCTGTTCTACGGTGGTGCACATTTACATCTCGTGCCATTGCTTGGATAGTGTCACAGGTAAAACTAAATGCAGATGTTGATCCTAACAAAGACGGATTTAGCTGTTACATGATAGGAACCAGCATAGATATAAGATAGAACAAATCAAGGAAACAAAAACAATATAGCACATTAATCATGAGGAAATCTCATTATACGTGCTTCAAGGCTAGACTTGAGGTTGAATAATCAGTGTTATTGTGTACCTCATCAGCAGATCCAAATCGATTTTTCACCACTCGAAGCATACGATGGGAAGAGTACTTCTCACCCTGGGAATTAAGATGAGTAATTAGCATAGAGAAAATTGAAATGAAATACATTGAACAACGTTACAAAAAGAACTTCTACATTATAGCTCAGGAAGGGGTGGGGGGGGGGCAAAGTTGATACTCTACCAATATATACCAGGCGCTTCTATTTTTTAAGGAAAAAAACTGTCAGGAATCCGTGGAAAACTAGAAATCATGCCCTTATTGTTCCAACAATTTCATTATCTTCTCATGGTCGTGGCATGCTACAATGTATGCTAGGCGCAGGAATTATGCGACTCTACTCAGTCATTAGCCACGTGAAAGCTTTAAATATGCAAGAGCAACTGGTATATCCAAAAGGGAAGAAGGAACCCAAGAAACAATTATCAGCCAAGAAGTAAACAATACAATAAATGGCTTAACGCAGTCCACCAACTATACAAAAAGGGAACAAAACAAGATACCTACTTCCATATATAAAACAACATCGACAATGTGCTCCAAAACACGAGGTCCTGCTATATCTCCAGATTTTGTTACATGCCCAATCTGAAGTACAGAACAATTCAATAAGGAAAAGTGAAGAAAGGAATAAAAAAATTAATTATCATGAATGTGAAAAGTTTAAGGCCATTATTAATGTAAGTGTCAGAAATCCCTTTAGCTTAGGATTTCACCACAGATGCCCTGCTTCTCTCCCATAATAAATAGGAAAAATATTATGCTGCCATTTAAACAGTTCTGTGTTGGGCAAACATGGAAAGAAAATAAGAGTACTTTTTTCCCTTAAAGAAGCTGTTTTCTCTTTAGCAGCATCACCAGAAAGAAACTTCATATCAGAGCTTCTATGGCTAAATGGTCAAGGAATTTGTCTGTTAATGTCCATTGCATGCATACATACAGTAAGCATCGCCAACAACTTCAACCGACAGGGTATGTTAGAGATATAACAAAAACTAATGCAAGGCTTTTACTTATTAGATCACACACTAGGGTTGAAGTGGCCTTTGAAATACATATAGCTAAAAACATGATAATGCACATATACATACTACATTGACAAAATTCATCTATCGAAAAGGTATAATTCACAAATGAATGCAGATGAACGCTCACCAAAAAAACTGCAGTGTTAGTCTGCTTGGCATATCGCAGCAATGCTGAAGTACATTCCTTCACCTGTCACAGTATATTTAAAATGTCAAGTACCAGGGAACTGAATTTCCTTTCAGAGAAAAAGGTATAACTTCTGATAGCCTGGTAGAAGAAGAAATTAAACCTAGATTAAATTATCATGAATTGATAATTGCCTTCATATAACTGATTGACTCATAAGTTCTTTTTTCATTATGAACAAGTTATTTGACTTTAACTTTTACAAAACAGATGTAAATTAATTAGGAGGAAAATTAAATTAATTAAATTAAATAATTAATTAATTATAGGGCATACCCCCCCCCCACCTGTGAAATCCCTCCAGCACTTCCAATTATTCCTTTCAAATAGACAGTTTGTACTGAATCAACCACTACAGCTCGAGCAGAGAGATGCTGAGTTTTCTCCAATATGTCCTGATACCATCAAAAAAGAAAAAGAAGGAATAATCACGTAGATTCATACAGTCTGGTGAATTTCAGAGCTAATTGAAACAAACTGCATGATCCTACCATGATAATACAAAATTATGACAGTAATTCTTGCAAAGGAAGAAGAAGTAAATCAGGCACAGCAGTATCAGAAGAATAAAAAACTAGCCAAAAGAATCCAAGATAATGCACCTCAATATCAGTACTTGAGTATAAATATATTTCCGATTCAATCCCAAGACGATCTGCTCTGTGACCAATTTGCTCAATACTCTATCACAAAAGGAAACAAACTTGATAAAAGTGCAAGCCACAGGAAAACAACAACAGATTCTAAATAACAGTAATAATAGTAAATGCTAAGTGAAACTACACCAGTCAATTTCAAGGAAGGAGAAAAAAGTTTACAACAATAATTACTTTTGTCTACAATACAGAATAACAAGATTCCGGATGACTGGAGCAAACAGTCAACAATATTCATGAAGGCTTACCTATAATTTTGCATAGCTAAACTAAGTATAACCCCCCCCAAACAAAAAAAAAACATAAAAAAAAAAAAGGATTAGGTAGGCTGTGTCGTAGTTTAGAGAACATGTCCTGTTCCTGCTGCCCACTGTTTGTCCTAGGCCTTCATTTGTGTTTTGTGTGTTCAGAGCTCTCCATTTGTCCAAGTGGACATTCTATGCAACATAAATTATTCTTTATAATTTTAATTACTAATTTCATGAGCAAACGTGAGAAATATTCATAATATGTGTGAACTTAATATAAATGTAATTTTTGGCCAAAAAAATATAAATGTAATTTCATAAATTATTCATCCTCTCTCTAGAGGTATGCCATTCAATGATGAAAATGAGTTTAATGATGTCAAATTTGATGTAAACTAATTAGAGGCTCAAAAAGAGTACACCTCTTCACCAGATACATATACAACTGGAGCTGCTTCATCACTGTTGCACCCTTCTGCTATCATTGCAGCAATCTTTAATGTAGAAAAGAAAGGGGTTAATGAGCAGAGTCAGTGATGTCAAACCAACTTGCGGTACAAGAAAAAAGGTTGACTAGTCAAGAGGCAAAGCCAACATTCTGACTTGGAGATTGGGTTAAACATGACCCAAATATAAGACATACCTGCAACAGAAGAGTACTCTTCCCAACACCAGGATCACCACCAACTAAAATCAAAGAGCCTTCAAACCCAAAATTCTAGACAAAGTTAGCCAGTGATAGCTACGGTGATCATCAGTAATTCTACTGAGCAATTAAAAACTCTCAAACAAAAAGCTGCAGTGAAAGCAAAAGGTTTGCGTAAAGCAAACAATTTCATATGTAAAAAACTCAAATTAAGGGAAACATAAAGGAGCATGATATAGTTCTTACTTCTTACCAGAATATACATAACTAAATTTTGATTAAAATAGGAAAAACTAGGACCGGAGGACATGATGTTTAACACCTAGCTCTGGATTGCACATGAGCAATTTGGCTAAGTCCCATACCCAGAGTGGCAGAGTCATAGACCACCACTCATGACATACTCAAGAAGAAAGAAAAGTACGGAAAGAGTGGGAGTTGATGAAGACCATGGTTGGTTAAGTTTAACATAACAAATGGCAAAGTTACTGACAAGAAGTGCAAGATCTCATTGATTTTTGGAACTAGTGTTACTGTTTCTTCTTCTTTATTGTTGTCTTATTTTGTATCTGGTAATAAAGGTCTTTAATACAGGTATTACACCTGGAATTAGTGGGAGAATCATCTATTGCATGTCATGTAAACCACTTCATTAAGTTATGTGTCTTTAAGATTCTTTCACTTATATTCCAAATAAAAACTCTACTCTCATTTACTCTTCAATCTAAGTCTCTGTGACAGAGACGCATGAGAAAGAACATAACATAATGATTTCAAAACTTAACACCACATCAGCATACATAAGTGAATTGGACTTGACCTGGTACAAGACCGCCTCCAAGCACTCTTGCAACTTCATTTCCAAAAGGACCAGAGCTGAAATCAAAGCACACCACACTTTCTTCAAGACTAGACGTACAGGCATTCATGCAGATGTGCACAAACATGCACAAGTCCTTCATATTGTAATCCAGACAATAACTATCTGTATAATGTGTTTATGAAGTATATAAAGTCTGTTCAGTGATGTAGACAAAAGCCAACCAGCACACCCTTAAAGTGTATATCTATAATCTATCTTTTAGGAACTATTTTCAAATGAAAACCATCACTTCTACTTCAGTAGAAATATGCCATCATGAAGCAATTTTATAAGTTACCTCATCAACAGAAGCTTCACATACGTTGAGGATAAATTTGAAAATGATATAGTAAAAGAAAATTGTATAGTTTAAATGACTGAAAGAAGTGAAACTATGAAAAAGTAAATGATGATGATAGTTATAAAAATAGTAATATAGTATTAATAATAACACCATAATAATCGTAAAAATATAAAGCACTCAATAACGGCTCATCCATAATCAACTTAGGAACTAGCATAGTGAAAGAAAAACAAGCAAGATTTATAAATTAATTAACAATGAGGCCCTCTCAAAATTATCATCGCAATTCCAAATATTAAAGAAGGATTCAACAGAAATGTAGAATCCAACAGATTACTTTCCGAGTGTCAGATTCAAGAACAGAGGTCACTACATATGAGAGCACAAAACCAATATACTCCGTAATAACAATCTGAATTACTGACACCATGAAACCAGCAGCATGTAGATGAAAATAAATGGGTTCCTCTTACAGATTCAGTAAACTAATCTCTAGCTGACTTCAATGTTGAATAAGTGCGCTAAGGATGCAACTTTCGCCACCCCACCAAAAAAAAAAAAAAAAGGCCTAAGACGACTGTTTAAAACCACTCTTTCCACCAACTTAAGAGTTAACTTTGGTGAGGAACAAAAGCCATTCACTAATAAGCTTTGGCTCAAGGTCAAGTAGTTGAATCGTCTCCAAGATTGAAGTGCTTAAGTTTGAATCAAGTCCGATAAATAAACTAGAAATAAAAACCAGGCCACATAATTTTAAATCCCTAGATAGCCAACTGTCTAGTGCCCAAGCAGACGACAAATTTCAAAAGGAGAATAACATAAACTTACAAAGGAAATCTCCACTCTTGATGATTAACTCGACGGTTCACATCCGTCAATTTCAAAGGACGCAATTCACCTGCCTGATGAGGGAGCCACGACCCCATTACACTTTCTGAAACTGAAAATCCACTAACCTTACCAGAACCACTGAGTTTCGGTTCACGAAACTCTTTCATCGTGGAAGCACTATTACAGGAGCGGCAAAATCCGAACCATTGACCAGTCGTATACCCGCAATTGGAGCAAACCCATTGGGTTTTTCCTCTTTCCTTTTTCTTGATCCCAACTCTCCTTCGAATACCTCCATCCTGTTCGGTACCTTGAACTGAGCTCGCCTCGTTCGCGCTCCCATTTGCCCTTTGGCTACCAAAGTTTTCAACTTTATCCCCAGAGTCCACCTGATTCTTCTGCCCTTCGCTAGAGGCTTTAAACAAATGACCATGTCGCGACCAAGTTCTTCTTTCTTCGGAATGAGTTTTTAAACTGGTCTTCGGCTCTTCTGGAGTATCAATGCCAAAGCTCGAATCTATCTGGTGACTGCTTGCGTAATGAGAATAACGAGAAAATCGAGAATTTGGAAAGGAACAAAAAGAAATGAGAGAGGGAGCTGAAAGACGTTTGATGTTGACGGGGTAAAGCAGGTGGTGCTTAGTGGTGAAGATAGTTCTGAGGACTCTCATGACAGAGCTTTGCATATGAAGTGAACTTTGTAAAGAATTTCTGTGAGGTTTATGTGGGAACCTACAAACAAATCATCGATTGAAAGATCAAATGTTTTCGGTTTTTTGCCATTCTGGAGACAGCAGAACTCTTGACTACCCGCCTGCCGATTTTCTCCAGATGAGCGCCAAAAGAACTCTAAAGCCACAAACCAAAATGAGTAATCTTTTGCCTCCGAAGGAACATTCCGTTTCCATGGGAATTATTATTATCATTATTAATACATCAGCTTGCTTATATTCGTTATATATAAAGTTCTGTTTAATAAAAGTTTTATCGGTTTGAAAATTTTATTTTGTAGTATTTCCATCCTGTATGATTAACATTTCAATGGGTCTCATTGGCCTCTCCTAAATTTTTTAGTTCATGTGGAAAAAGAAATTCAAAATAATCACGTAAACATCATCAAATGACCTGTATATTTAGTTTTTGACCTGGCCTGTATATTTAGTTAAGCACACCCAATAGCGCACACATATATACCATTGATGCGGCCTTGATTATCTCATGAGCTTTCGTTATCTCCTCAATTGTATTACACACACTCATATCATTCATCAGGGAGAGGAATGTCTCTGCCAAACCCTTTCTTCACTTTTCTCCACTTAATATTTTTATTATCAGATCAAACTTCAATGACTAAGATTTATTTTATAAAAATATTATTAAAATATTAAATATTAAATAATAAAAAATATATAAATAAATTTATACTGTTGAGTGTTAAAATTTGATATAAGTAGTTTAATGTGATAAATTTTTATTATATTTAATATTATAATAATATTTTTACTTAATTTTAAATCTCAATCATTAGAAGATAGTGGGGACATTCTCCTCCCAATTAATCATTAATCATATATACATGCGCGCGCGCGCGTATATATGCCTGTATTCCCTGTAGTTCCCGTTGACGTTGGGTGGGAGCAGGGCTGATAGACTCGATTTCCGGTGCTTTGATCCTTCTAACGGCTACTACTCGTCGCTTTCTATCCCCGGACATTCCTATTACTTTTCCATCTCTAACAAATCCCATTATATTCCTCCGCCGCCACCTCCACGGCGGATTCCGCCCCTCTCCTCCCCAAGATCGTCACAGGAGATGCTGGCTACATCTTCGAAGATGTTCCTCACTTATCTTGTTACATTCCGCATCACCTCTCTGTATCACCCTCTCTCTGTCTCTTTCCCCCTGCATTCACCAGAATTATCAATATTTTAATGATATATATACTTACATACATATATATACATATGTATTTATACAGTTGATGAACGTATACTGATTATATTGTTCTTGCTTGTCGATCTTCTTTGCAGACTTATCCTGACCCGTTACAAGACATTCCTTCTTACTTAGAACAGTCAGAGAGGGCTTCACTTACGGCGCGCTGGACCTAGTCAGAAGGTTTGCTAACAAGTCAGATAATAATAATATTATTATTATTGAATGGTTTAAATTTAACTTAAAATTATAAGAATAATAAGTAAAATTTAAATGGACACACAGAGACAAAGTTGTGGAATGTTTGGGAGGCATGATTTCAATCAAAGGAGAGATAAATAATACTACATTCGGTCTAAGTCTATAAATGAGATTTTATAATTAAAACAGAAGGCACCATGATATTTGTGTGGTGACATGTGGAGGCCTGTGCATGGGGCCACGAAGTTGTCGCAATGGAAGATAGATGCTTCATGACTCGTTAATAATATGAACTTATCAAGCGTTAATGTTCTAAACTGTTTTTTTTAATTAATTTTTTCTGGGAAAATGAAAGGAGGATACAGAGGATTTTACATCATTGGGACCTCAGAAAGGGGCTGCTCTTATATTTGAGGCAATAATAATATATTACTTAATTTATTTTGAAATAAACATGTTGATGTTATATAGGTTGTATAGAGTCGGAGATATTGTTAATGGTTTATTATATATATGATGTTTAAGATTCAATTAGCATTTATAACGAATTTGTTATTGTATGCAAAATTAAATATACATTTCATATAATAGTTTTTTAAATCATTATTTATATTTTATAATTAACATTTGGTACACATTTCCTTTTTATTTATAAAATTATATGTTTCTTATTTATTCTGCATGCCAACATGCAAATCCCAGAACTCAGTCTACTAACTTGTAAATTCTTTTTGCAACAAAAACACTTGTGAATCCTTTTCTTTTGTTTTTTGTTTTGGGAAAAGTCTCATTTTTTATTTGCATTTTGAAGCAAATATGACAACAGAGTTGGAGAAAGATAATAAAACGAAAGAAAAATGTTAGTAATAGAGGGTAAAGTTGAACTGTAATTAAAAGACCGTTGAACAAGGGCTTCCATTTATTTTTTATGCTAAATCTGGTTTCAAACATTAACTCTGCCAGCAAATTTTCATTTTCGCCAAAAGTCCCAAAAAGTTATAACTATTTGATTATTTTTTGCTTCTCCAAATGATTATGCTTTTCAATTCATCTTCTTTCTTATTTGTCTTTCTCTGGTGCACCCAATCTTCTTCGCCACTAATCATCCCAGCTAAACAACACAAAATTAAAGGCTTTTGCAGGCAAAGCCAATTTTTTCTGTTGAGGAAGAAGCAAACATGTAATCAAAACTGATGCAAAACAAAATATCAAAAGCCTGAAATATTCAATTCAACCGTTGAATCAGGCCAAGCAATATATGATCGATGGCAATTCTACAAGGTAAAGCTCCTTATCTTTTTTTCTCTCCTGAATATAAGCTGAAACAGAATAATTTGAAATGACAAGGGTTTAGGATATTTATCCACCACGATCGAGTTTTTGAATAATTTGAAATGAGTTTTGGTATAATTTCACGATTTTTTAGTTTTATTATTGATTGTTGATATACACATTGACATTATGGATTATGTTCTTTTTCTGGGTGCAGAATCAATGACATGGTAGATTTTTGCGAACCTTAGCTTCCTGAATTTGTAGTTTCTGGGTTTGATGATATAAAACAAGTTTAATCTGCTCAGGGATCATTGGGCATAAGCAAGCAATGTGTCTGGGTTTTGATAAGCAAGCAATGTGTCTGGGTTTTGTTCTCATGGAGTAAGAGAGTGATGATGAAGAGACAAGGAAAACCTGAGAATTTTCTGAGGCTTGAAGATTCTTAAAAATGATAATGAGAGAGAGTAGAGATGTAAAGCCCATTCTATTGAAAGTAGGGTTGGCTCTAACTCTTTCTATAGCTGGATATCTCATCTCTCGCATCAGAATCAGAAGAATCAACAATCCGTCTGAAAGTAGGATTCACTCAGACCAAACTTCAGGTTTCTATATCTATCTATGCATCGTTGCTTTTATTCCTTTTGCTGTTCTTAATAGGAAATTGAGTGAAATCTCTATTCTTAGTAACATTATGTCTGTGCAATGCATTTCCCAGGTTATGAAAGTGACGTTAGTTTAAATAAAACTCAACTCAAACATGATCTTCCTTCCATAAAGCTAGTATCTAGATCAAGTTCTTGCAACAGTTTTTCAGATGCACATTTTCTGGATACAGTAAGTTCCAATGAGAAATTTGAATCACTTAAAATTTATTCTGAACTAGCATCATTAATTAAGAGAATCCTCAGTCTTACGATTAACTAAAATAGGGGAATCACATTACCTTAATTTCAGGAAGAATCGTTCATCAAGGAGGTGATCATCAGTAATACGACACCTAGGTCGAAATTAGGATCTCCTCCTAAAGCATATGTAACTCCAGAAAAGGATAACTACGATCAAGAGATGAGGAATCTCAAGAACATTATCAGAATGCTTCAAGAGAGAGAAACGAGTCTCAAGGTTCAATTGCTCGATTACTACGATCTTAGAGAGAAAGAAACAGCATTAATGGAGCTTCAAAACCGTTTGGCCATTAGCAGTATGGAGGCGAAAATGTTGGATCTGAAGGTAGAGAGTCTAATGTCCGAGAATCGAAGGCTAGAAGCACAAATGGCGGATCATGCGAAACTTATAACAGAGCTTGAGTGTTCGAAAGCGAAAGCGAAGCTACTGAAGAAAAGAATTAAGCATGAAGCTGAAGAGAACAGGGAATTGATACGGAACCTTCAACAAAAAATTATAAAATTGCAAGAAGATCACAGAGACGCTGGTAGTGATGAAGATTTACAGAAGAAGCTGTCGAAGTTGAAGGATTTAGAGACTGAAGCAGAGGAATTGAGGGAGTCGAATTTTAGATTGGAGATAGAGAATTCAGAATTGGCTCAAAGATTGGATTCTACTCAGATCCTTGCAAATGCTTTTCTTGAAGATCCAGAGGTAAACTAATGTTGGGCGCGTTTCAATAATTTGTAAATAGCTTTTGAAATTTACAAAATATAGTACGTGATAAAATTAAAAGTTTTATCTTAATTTATATAAAATATATTTATAAATATTCTTTATCACCAAGACACCAACCCAAACACACCCATTGCCAGCCATTTAATTCAATCTGCGTTTTTTTTTCCTTTGGAGCGAACGAACTAAACATGGTTTCTACCTGCTTTTGTGTCTATATATGTACAACAAACGTCTACCAACAAAATTATTAATACTTAAATATAAGAGTCGGTTTGTTATGTAAATTATATTATAAATTACAAGCTAAATTTTATATTTAGAATCAGGGTAATATTTAATATTGTTGATTAATTTAAATTTATTTACTGTCCAAAGTTTCATATATATATATGTGTGTGTGTGTGTGTGAATGTTTGATGCCATAGAGTATGGTAATTCAACATCTTTGCTTACATCTGGGTTTCATACATTTTTATTTTGAAAATATTATTATCTTATAAAAAGTTTTTGTAAAAAAATGAAACTTAAATTAAGAATTATACTTATAAATTTTGATTTAATTCTTATATATCAAAAATTTGTAATTAAATTCTTATAATTGATGAAACCTTATTTTGTTATAATCGTATAAATTTTTAATAAATTTATTATTGTAATTATATATTGTTTTAATTTCTGCATGTAAAGATATAAGTACTGAAGCATAATTAACTGTAAATTTAAAATTTTAACAAAAATGATATCGATGGATAATTATTGTTGTTATATTGTTGGGTAATTAATATAAATAATATATATTTACTCTACTCAGCTTTCTATTTTATTTGAAAATTTTAAAAATTATTTATATCGGTTGCTATGCATGCTTCTTCTGATGCATACAAATTTATGTTGTACGTGTGGACTTGGATGCAGAAAGATGCTCTCAAGGAAGAGACCGAACATCTGAAACGAGAGAACGAGAACTTGACGAAGGAGATTGAGCAACTTCAAGCAGATCGATGTTCAGAAGTTGAAGAATTGGTCTATCTTCGATGGGTTAATGCTTGTTTACGATATGAGCTCAGAAATTATCAGCCGCCGCCTGGTAAAACTGTTGCAAGGGACCTAAGCAAAAGTTTAAGCCCTACCTCTGAGAAGAAAGCGAAACACCTCATACTTGAATATGCAAAATCTGAAGGAACAATGGACTTTGATTCGCCTTCAGATCAATGGTCATCTTCTCAGACTTCTTTTCTTACAGACGCTGATGATTGCTCTCCTTTTGGAAACTCATCATCATCTGTTCCCAGAATCCAAACTTCAAACAAGAACAAGTTTTTTCACAAACTTAGAAGACTGATCAAAGGCAAAGATAGCCAGCACCATCGTGTTCAGCTTTCACCTGGGGAAAAATGTGGGTCTCAAAAAAGCAATTCCCCACAGTTCTGTTCAAGCGGATCCGCTGGGAATGACACGTGCCGAAGGAATGAACTTGACAGTACTCCATGTAGGATATACAGAAGTTCCTCTGATTTCCACAGGTTGACGATTCTGAAGGAAGAAGAAGACAGCACAAATTCAGATACAATAAACATAGAGAAAACTCCATTAACGAAATATGCAGAAGCTTTAAAAGACTCTGGGGCATCTTCCAATGCCAAACGTGGCTTTGGAAGAAGATCAGCATCATATAGTTCATTTTGACTTAGCAGCTACTTGTAAGTTATAGTAGTTTTTTTTTTCCCTTCAGCTGTAGGTATTTTAAATTAGTAGACGAAGTGAGTGCCACTGTACTTTGCTACTTCTAGAATTTAGGATCTGTTCCAACAGTAATTGTTTTGTGAACAAATAATGCACTTTCAGATGTATAGCAAGCATTCATCGATGCAAATTTGGTAAAGAGTGTCACAATGTAGTTACCTTCTAGTGGGCAACACTTGCTTTGTGTTTAATAGTTCCTAAATTTTTTGCCCAAAATACTCATTGTTGTGAGGCAATATTGTACTTTTTAAGCCAATGAAGATCATGATTATAAGATACCGAGGGTGAGAGAAGATTTTAAAATAAAGAAAATAGAGATGGTATGGGAAGGAAAGAAGGGGAGATACACTTGGCATTGCGGTGATACTATTATCCACCGTGTTGACTGCACAAACATTTACATTGCACATATGCATAATGCATGCATGCATACATAGATGCATACATGCATATATATATATATATATTTCTGTTTTCTGGTGCTTTTTCTTTATACATATTGATTCCCCTGTTCATAATAATATCAAGATGTTAATCAGACTAGACTTTTTTAAAGGTTCTCTGCAGGCTATCATCATCACAAAGAACATTCTTGCCTACTATCTTGCCTCTGGACCAGAGGCAGCTTCAACATCAACAACATGGGTGTCGAATGAGCTGTTTGATTTAAGAATTCTTCCATCTGTACCCCACCTTTGTTTACGAGCTGCTTCCATTTCTAAGCTTTCTTTTAATTCTGGGACAACATAATTCATTGATGGTCTTTCACTAGCGGTTGGAGACACACAAGATATTGCTACTTCCACAGCCTTCCACATAGAACCAAAATCAAAATCTCCCTGCAACCTTGAATCCACAATTTGTTGCAGATCTCCTCTTTTCACAAAAGGGGTAACCCAATTCACAATGTGAGTGTTCTCTTGACCTTTTATTATTGCTCGCTGCCCTGTAACAAGCTCTAGAAGCACAATGCCAAAACTATAAACATCACTTTTCTCAGTAAGCCTGTTGGCTGAGTAGTATCTGCATAAGAAAACTCATTCGGGTCATGTCTGTAATCTTGAAATTACATATTGTAGTCTAAAAACATCAAAAGGTGGGGATATGGGATGTTAAAGCAAAACAGAAAAAGCCCAATACAAGCCCATTATTAATAGAAGACAGCCCAAGATGATATCAAGTTTACTCTCACACATATCTACACTGTACATTTATCTGATGTATTTTACACGTGTAATGATCCTGTACATTCTAGGGTTCTGTTCTCCTCTGTGCAAAGTAATGCAATACATCTTGGGCTGTGAGCCAACTTAACAGAAAACACTGCCTATTTCCTTTTCTTGGGAAAGTGATGTTCATCGTTTCCTAAAGGCTTTAACTTCTCGACTCTGAGGTATTTGTTCTAATACGTTCTATACTGTACCAAACCAATTAACCAAGTGAATAACATAAACGGGAGAGGATACATTGAGTAGAAACATGTCATCAACATACCATGTATTAATTTTCTCTCATAGAAGCAATTTATTTGTATTGTCAAAGGAAGCGGGGTGTCTGTATGCATGTAACATGCAGAAACTGTTCAAGGCAAGTTCAGCTAAAAAATTTCTGATTTTTTGAGTCCGGCTAAATAAAAAGCACTGTTATCTGTGTATTACAAATAACTTACTCTGGGTCCAGGTATCCGAATGTCCCAATGACTTCTGTCGACATATGGCTTTGGCTTTCAGTTGAAAAGGACTTTGAGAACCCAAAATCTGCAACTTTTGCTTGCATTTTCTCATTCAGCAAAATGTTTGATGTCTTTATGTCCCTGTGAACTAGAGGAGGCTTGCAGCCATGATGCAAATACTCAAGTCCTAAACATATAGCTACCAATGTTAATTACCTTCCAGTCATATGACAATGAAGAATACAGTATGTAGTCAGTCTCACGGCTTACCTTGAGCGGCTTCGACTGCTATCTGAATCCTGTTTTTCCAACTTGATAATTCTTTCATTGAACCTATATTCATCAGATAGTCACAGAAGTATGGTGAAATTCTCATTTGGTCCAAGATTAAGTAATTATGCTTATGAATCCCCTCTATAAATTAATATGATGTACCTGAAAGACACTTCTCTAAGTTCCCATGAGCCATGAACTCGTATATGATCGCAGTGTGTCCGCCTTCATTACAATATCCAAGAAAGGAAGCCAAGTTTCTATGATGAAGTCGCATTAAGAGTTCTGCCTGCAAATACCGCAAAATATCATGTAAGTGATTTGGTTCTAAGAAGTTAATTAAGAAACAAAATGAACTGAATTAGCTGGGGAGAGAAAAGCATGCCTCTGTCTGAAACTGCTTACAGCTTTCTGGTGATGAGAGCAGTTTGACAGCAACTTGTGTGTCATCAGATAAGGAGCCATGATAAACAGCTCCAGATCCTCCTTTTCCAATCATTTTCTCGAAGTTATTGGTGATATCTACTATGTGGGAGTATGTGAATCGTGTATTGCTTGACTTCAGCACAACTTCCTCATTCGATGTCACCAGCTGATTTGCTGTTAAACGAATTGATTAGTTTTCATGATTAGCATAATTTGACATGCATTATAATTGAAAACGTTTATATTTTTTTCCAAAATCATTTGGATTCATGCACAAGTTATTATTTACAATATTGCAGCTTTAAGTTCATAATACTCCCAATCTATCTGGGGAGGTAAAAAGAGATCAATTTGCAGACCTGGTTTTTTGCTGGATGTCCTTCTCCAAATAATGCTGACTACAATAGCCAGTGCAATTAAAAAGACTACTGATGAAAGAATGGCTATGACTGCATGCAGTGGAAAAGAACTCTTATCCTCTTTGCACGGAGCTTTCAGACAAAGGTCAGGATTCCCATCCACACTGTGATTATATCGCATTTTCTCAGGTTATTGAAGAAGGAAATCGATTGAGTAATTAACGATGCATGAGAAAACAAGGTCCTCAGCTGTCCTTTCCCTTTATTATCAAGTTTGTGATACTAAATGAAAACAAACCTCAACAGAAGTGACCCATTTTCTGTTCTTTCCCTAAGAGCTGATGGAATTTCACCAGAGAGCCTGTTTCCTGATAAATTTCTGCAAAAAGATATATGTCAGACGGTCCTTGGGACTTCCAAGTGAGTTATAGCGGCAACTAGAATCTCCAACAACTTACAGAGTCTTCAAGTGTTGCAAATGGATGAAAAAATCAGGAAGTGACCCGGTTAAACTATTATTTGATAAATCCCTGAAACACATGCACCTTTTAGTTGGAGTTAACATTATAGTATATAACAGGCAACGGTTGCTTGAGGAATCTGTGGTATTCATAATGGAAGGTGCAGAAATAGTGCTTGTATTAAATATTTGATTGAATTCATGGTGCTGTTAAATTCAAACTCACAAATATTCTAAAGATTTCAGCATGAAAAATGATTGACTTATTGCTCCTGACAAGTTGCTGGAGGATAGATTTCTGCGTGCAGTTCACATAATTTTGTCAACATAATGAATACACCTGGTAAACTTTAGTTTCAATATAAATATAACAAGGCTTACAATTCAATTATTCTTGGTGCATCATATCCATTGTAACTGCAGTTAAGTCCATCCCAGGAATAGTCCATGGGTGCACAAGGATCTCCTTGCCACGACTTAATAGTGTAGGCTTGTTTGATGTCCATGATAGCATTAACTGAAATTTTCACAAGCATTTGATGCCAAAATAAGAAATTCTCTAACTTTTCGAAGAATACTTATTAAAAGACCAAGATCCCATTTTGATCCCTCCAAGATGGCCTCGTAAATGGTGCAGTTAGTACTAAAAATAAATAATGTTCTGACTATAGGTATCAGTTTCAGTACCTGCAAGGGTGAACTGGAGCCAATTGATAATAGAATCATGTTTATAAGACCAAATTGAGGTTTGAACCTAGAAACGAAAGAGCAAGGATTTGTCAAGAAAGTGAGAAACAACTAACCATCTTCTTGGTCTGTAGGTTCCTGATATGAATCTTTCTCAAAGTAAATCTCCATTGCATTGAGAATGGGAGGAAGGGTGGAATTTTCTTTCTTGTTCAAAGAGAGCCAAAGCTTGGGTCCTGTGATGGGCTGTGGATTATGAATTGTGGTCGGGTCTAAGTAATTGAGGACTACAAGATCTTCAGACTCATCCAACAATTTTCCATTCAATATAATGCTGAATTCTCTGTGTTCATTTTTGCGGAGCTCCTTAATCTCAGCAAAGTGCACATAAACATAGAACTTTGAAATAGAATCACCAGTTTCAAACTGAACTTCCACGGGGTCGCCATCATTAGTTGGTGTTACAGCAGTTCTCATTACTGTTGACGGTAGCCGGTATGTATTTTTCAGGGAATCAATGGTCAAGTTGGTACTCAATGACTCACAATGAGGTAAATTGTAAGGATACCAAATTCTATCATAGGCATCTTCTTCAAACCTAGATGAGGTCAAACAAGAAGCATGTTAAATGCCAGTTTTACCAAGCCACATACAAAGTAATAGAAGTTTGACAGAAGCGTAACTTCATTTCAAGTAAAACTTTTGTTATATTATCATAATAAAAATTATTTTAAGATTTTACTAAATAAGGCAAGAAAGCCTCCATGATTGGCGAAAACTTTGATCTTAAGCTGAAACATGGACAAAGCACATCCTCACCTATCTTGTGCTGAAATTTTAATTGTATGATAGAGATCAGAGGCAACAAAGATGCATTTATATTATGTCAAGGACTATATTATCATAATGTTTCCAAAACTAAACATCTATGCAGGTGCTTTGTGAGCAACATACTGATCATATAGTTCTCATAGACTTGTCTGATGGGAAACTTACCTCACTATTTCATTGGTTGTTGAGCCAAAGTCAAGACGTTTATATAGAGCTAAGGTTCGAGATTTGTTAGTATAAATGGAATTGTGAAGATGCCTCATCTGCAATGCTGATATAAAAGGAGTTCCTTCATCAGTGTTCAGTAAGCAAACATGTACAACATCCATAGGTGGCACATGTAAAATCTCCTTTATTACAATATGGGAGGCATTCTCGAATCTCACAGTGTCCCACAAATTAACTCCAATATAAAGGTCAAACTTGGGCGGCTGATTCAGAGCATCATAGTTGCCATACATGAAAGAAGCTCTCAACAAGTAAACAGTATTTCTACCTTCTGGATGTCTTAGAGTGTAACAATTCCTCTTACCCTCAGGAAAGCTTCTTACATTTCTAAGTATTCTTTCAAGATTTTCAGAAATGAACTCAATTGATATCTCCCGGTTTTCTCCAGTGTCTATGAACGTTGAATCTGTAAAGTAGGGTATCTGAGTTTTTCCATCGGTATAGCCAATCTCATCAATTAGGCCACAGTCAATGTCAATAGAACCTGAAATCATCCACACAAGTTAGCATCAGAACAATTTGTTTACACTGAAAGAAAGTCCACAATTTTTGTGTGTGGACTTTCACGCAAGTTCAGAGCAGTAGGTAAAAGAAACTACTCACCACCCACATCATCTAATTTCCTTCTGGCCTGTTGGTGATGTGCAGAGTTCTTCTCTGTAGCCAGAACTATGGATTTCCCATCAACTTCCTGAATTGCAAATACTGATACAGAGACAAACCATAAAAAGAAGAGCCAAGCGCCGGTCCATCTGAATTCCCCAGCCATATAGTCTCAGTTAGAATGCACTACTTGGTATAATAAGATACTATTGAACTTGCCTATGCTTTGTGATAAGAAGAAGAATCATGAATATTAAATTTTAAAAAGGCAACATATATATGAAGCAATTTGTACGAGTTATTCTAGCTAACTGGTAAAAAAAAAAATTACTTTTCAACAAAATATCTGATAGTCCCTGGGTACCTCGTTTACTTTTCCACATATATACACTTCAATTAGTACCTCTTCCCCCCCCCCCCTCTGAAGCCTTTAATTAGCTCCTCTTGGACCATGTTAATGGTAAAGTTTTCTCCCCCCCTCTCTGTGTTTTTTTTGGGTGGAGGGCAGAAACTTTAGTCCCAAATGTCTTGTTAGTAGATAAGTCAAAATAATTTATCTTCTGACCATTTATAGTTTACTTCAAGAAACATAACTTCAATGCAGTTATTCAAACTGTCATATGAAAAGTTATACTTCTGTGATAATCTCAAATACTTAATTCACAGGACAGCTGTTTAGGCCTGAAGTGTGGAAAATGCAAACTAAAACAATTAAAGAAAGTTAGTTAAACATAGTTTCAGCATTAATTTTTGAATTATACATGAAAACTGCAAGTACTAATGGTTTTCCAACTTAAATAAATAGCTGTCACAGCTGAGGACCCCATTACACTCCTGGGAGATTGAAAGAAAAAGAACTCTTGAATGATCAACTTATTTTTGGTTGGTTAAGAATGTATTTAAGTCATTGTGGGAATTTTCAGTCTTCATTTTAGTTAATGCTGTGGTGTTTACGTCAATTATAGTAAATGCAGCTTTGTCTTCGGCCTATCATATTCATGACATTGGCACTAGACTCGATGTGAGTGGTCAATAGTGAAAGGTTATTTTTGGCCACTGGCTTATTGACATAGAAGTAAACCTAGTCAAAAGATAGCTAAGATTACCTCCCTGTTGACTCAATCAAATGAAAAATTTAAAATTTCTTTGAAAGATTGGTGAGCTGAGAAATTCTTTGGGCATTTCTTCTATTGGTTGTGTACAACTGTTAATGGACCTTATCATAAACAACGTTGATTTTAGCAAGTTTAATTGATTATTTATACAGTTTGTGTTCTTATATTGCATGTATGCGGGAATTTTCTGCCAAAAATAAATAAATCAAGCCAATTAGATGTCGAGTTTACTTCAAGTTGGGATTTTTAATTGATTTTTGTTTCTCATTGTGTTTGATCGTTGAAATTTGCTAGTCAATGTACTGTTCATCAGGAATATTTGGAGGGGGAGAGTGAAGCCTAATTTACCTATAGCTGGAAGAAGCGTGTGGGTCAGAAGGTGGTACGAGTATTGCATTTTTTAGGCCCAAAAAAGAGAAGATGGTATTGCGTCAGATTCACATTTCATTTGGGCCTTCGGAGTGTACTAATTTATTAATGCTTATCACGCTACGTTGAAGAAAGATTTATTAACTTTTGTTACAGATCTTGTTTAGTAAATTTTAGTTGCCACGTTTACTTTCAAGTCCAATGAATTCAAAATCAAGTGAGCCAACTCACTCACTTGTCTGCCTCTTCCATCCTTGTACCTCACAGTCACTTCTATATATGTATGCGTGTGCGTGACTATTTGACTCAGTTAAATTTAGGCATTGTCTGGTCTAATTGGGAATAACTCTCCTAAATGCATGGGCTCAAACGTAAGAATTAAGTGCCTGTTTGGCAGGGTATTTGTGGAGCTTAAAAGGAGCTTATTGGTGTCATAAGCTCGATCTGTAATTTGTCCTTGTTTGGATAACCTTTTAGTTTATTTAACTTATAAGTCAAAAGCCAGTGAAAAGCATAAGCTGGGAAGAAAAGCTTATAACTTATGGAATCGTGCGTTTGCTTTAGTAAAAGGTCCTGGAAACATTTATTGCGAATTTAGTACCAAATTTGCCTTCTGGCTCTTCTCCCTCATACGTTGATTTTGTGCATTTTCAAATTTTTTAATATAACACAATTTTCTACAAAGTTATCATATGATAAATAACTTTTTTTAGTAATGGTTTTTTTAATATTTTACCATATGTAAATGTAATATACACACACATATGTGAACATATGTATTACTCCCTCCTATTCATATTATAAATTAATTTAAATTTATTGTATTATGTAAAATTATTTTTAATAATGTTTTATTATTTATTAAAATTCATACCCATTTTGATCATCTTACAACTAAACTTACTTTTACTTAACCATAGTCCAAACAACCTTTTATCAATCTCACTTTTGCAAACTAACTTTTCTAAATTCTAATCCAAACACAATTCAGCTTATCCAATTCAGCTTTTACCCAACTTCACTTTTCTATAAGCCAAACTCACAATAAGCTACTTTTCCAATTGCTATTCCAAACGGACTCTAAAACTTCATGTTTAAGTGGGCAAAACCGTTTTCATTAAAACCAACATCAGTGAGTTAGTTGAGCTCTCTACTCATTGGCAAAGAATGTTTCTTGAAAAATCTTATCATGCTCAATAGGATTAAAAAAAAACTAAAAATTATTGATATACCTGCAAAAAAAAAAAAACACATCAAAATAAGCCAAAACTTGGGACTGCTTCAATTTTTATTTTAAAACGAATGTCAAATTAGAAAACTACCTGACACAAGTGATATTTGTTTGTTGAAGCGTTCTGCTCAAGAATGGGGCCCCACCACACAGCAACCAAACTCTAGTGTCAAAATATGCTATTTTGACACGGAATATGAAAACTTTTAGCTGTCATTAAACATTGAGAATGAGAAATAAGGATAAGAATTGAGATTAAAAAAATACATTAAAAAATATTTAATATGAAGAATTATTTGTTATTTAGAATTTGGCAAATTCATGTAAATAGGATTGAGGTATACAAAGTGGTATTTTCTAATCCCAGCAGCATGGGTTTATCCAGTTCTAAGTAACAAGCAATCTCTCATATTAAATACTCTTTTAATAGATTTTTTAATTCAATCTAATTCTTTCTGTTTATTCTCAATGTTTCATACCAAATAGGACTTAAAGTTAAAAATTTCCAAAAAAAAAAAAAAAGCAGCAACACGGCAAAACTTAGCATTACGGGGTCTCAAATTTTAGTCCTTGTGAACGCAAACACACATTTAGGCGGACTAATCTTATTTAGGGCCGATGACGCGTGGTCTAATAACATCGAATATTGTATTAAAAAAGGGAAGGAAGAAAGAAGGGAAAATTAGAGAAAAGGACAAAAAAAAAGATATTTATTGGGGAGGATCTTAAAAAGTGTAATTATTTAGGAGGACCAAATACTAAAATACAATTTTAAGATCCTCCCCAATAAATATGGCTTCTGTAGTTCCTTCTCCCTAATTTTCCCAAGAAAGAAATTAGATTTCCATTGTTCAGGGTTCGTTGAACTTTAACGCTGAATATTCACATAAATGTGTATGTATTTTTTCATCCTTGTTAGCAAATTGCCAAATTGTTTCAATGATAGCACCGCCCGCCGTGTTTGGATGGCAACCCAAATTGAACTTGTCTTCTTGAGGAATGTATAACTATATCATCAGAGAATGAAGTAAAACCAACTTGATTACTTATTTCTTAATTATAGTTACCATTTGAAAGTACATTAGTTTGATCAGTCTGCAGGCTGTGAAGCATTGCTCAAATTTTTAACCTTAACCCAATTTTTTCATGAACAGAAAGGTATTCTCATGTGTAAGAGAATTTTTATCCTTATTTTACCTTGCTTCACATGGGAAACATCTTTTTTATATTTATAAAGTTTACTTTTACATTTTATTTTATAGATAAATTATCTTTGTATTTATCAAATAACTGAGCCTGGTGATAGGGACAGGGGATTTATCATCCTTTAACTAAGGCACAAGTTTAAATCTTTAAAAAAAATTACATTAACAAATTATTTCATCTGGTACTAAGGAAGTATTTAGCTATTACCAAAAGTACTTTTAAAAATATTTTTCTAACAAATTGAGATAAATTCCTTCACATATTTATTTCTTATATCGTAAGTCACCTTTAAAATCGTAATTTGGTTTCCATCCAAACGCTATAAATTCCTTCACATATTTATTTCTTATATCGTAAGTCACCTTTAAAATCGTAATTTGATTTCCATCCAAACGCTACCTACTAATAATAGCCAAATTTAACATGAAAATTAATATTTAAAAAAAAATGAACAGGAATGGAACTCCTGCTTATATCTAATTAAAAACTTAAGGATACATTTTATTAATACATCACATACAGATAGCAGATTTCACAGAGGATGTTTACAACAAATTAGCGGCACAAAATATTCTACTTCTAGGCTCTACGGCTAAAACACAAGTTAATGCTGCTGCTACTTAAAATAGATTATTCCATGATCTACTCCATGGATACTCTTAACTAGTTTGTCTCTTCTTCCTCAGATCTCCATTGTTTCACCACTTGAGTTTTGCAGGGAAGTACTGTACCGGAAAAAAAATGATGCATTAGTAATTTAAAAAAAAAAAAGGATTTTAGAAGGAAAAGGAATACATATAATAAGTATTAAAATTGGGATATTAATTAATTACCTTCTCAATAAGAGAGAGATAGTATGGTTTAACCTTCTCAACGTCTATTCTGACTTTGCTCTTACTGTACAGATCATATTTACTGCAAAAGAAAGTAGAAGAGTTAGAAACACATGTAAAAACCAATCATTATAGAGTTTAACTGATAAATCATTTTTGTTAGTTCTTACTTGAAAATATGGAGCCATTTCAGATTCTCAACATCTTCATCGTTCATTAAGTGCTTATATGCTCCTGCTCTGTGTAATGCTGTAAAAAGAGAAGGAAAAGAACTTTGTAAGTGAGAAAAAATTAAAGTTGGATTTGGATCGCATGTGGTTTATTAGGGTTAAAATGATCTTATTTTTTCTGAGTTGGACTTACCATAGAATGAATGGTATCTTATGATAAACAGAGCAGCTGAAGGCAGAGT